TATATATTTCTTTATTAGATTATTTTATCATTCATATAAGTTCATGTATAGTTTGCATTATGTTTGGGGGTTTAATAGAGTAAAATGGTTGTTTTAGGTGGAATTAGCACACATTAGGCACATGATTTGAAATTATGGAACATAAGAGTTTGAAAAGTAATGTAAAAAAAGAAAAACAATTACGTGTATGTGGCACTTGTGTTCCATACAAAATCAACGCGCTTGCGAGATCTTGTTAAAGACTAAGAGAGGCCAAAGGGCTGTGCTATATATAGGCGCGATGCATAGCTTCGACTGCACGTAACCTAAAATCGTGGTGGGTTCTTAAACCCACCCACCCCATCCCATCACACACATCTATCCCACCTCATCACCTGTACCTCTTATTACATACACCACCTAATTACATTCACATTTTATCATGTTTTGCACAAAAAATAGGGAAAATTGCCGCTACAGTCCCAAACATTTTGGTTTTTTGCGGACTTTACCTTAACCTTTACTTTGTGTCACCACATGTCCCAAACTTTTCAAAAATATGTAGCATAGGTCCAAATGGATGGATTTGACAGTTAGTTAACCTAAAAAATTAAGAAATGGGATATTTTGACCAATTTAAGGAGAGACATTTCCGTCCGTATATTAATTTCCATTTAAAAAAAATCACAATCTTCTTCAAATACCCCACCCTTTCCCAACACTAAAATTATGCCGTCCACCGCCACTGTTGTCTCCGCAAACGCCACCACCATGGCTACCATCTCGAACAACAATTTTCAACACCATTAACCCAACAATTTTCTTCTAATTGCTTGAAACAAACAACATTTTCCAAGCCAAAATTAGTGGAATGAACCCAGCAACTTGGTTCGAAAAATGGGGTCGGCAAAATGGAAAATGGATGCGCCTTGATGAGGAGGTTCGAGAATGGGTGGTCCACAATCTTGACTTCCACCGCCAACGCCAGAAAATGGTTCAGAAAGCTGTGTTCTTGCTGGGTTCAAAAAATGGACCTGTAGATTCTGATTTGTAGCATTATTTGATGTTAGAAGACCATGGACAGGGGTGCTACGACGAGTAGAATCCACTTGTGACATGGGTAATCTGTGGGTATCACCGACGGAGGCTGTGCCGCCAATATTTGTGGATCTGATAGGTAGTTTTGAAGTGTAAACATAGCCAACTCAGAAAGCATTGATGCTCGATGTTGGGTGGTTTGAGTAGAGGGTAGTGAGGGCTTTCTAGTAGTATGGTTGTCTGGTGGTTTAGGTGGTGGTTGGCTGGAGTAGAGTAACTGTCGATGGCGGTGGCGAATCGGGGTGGTGGGTGGGGTGAAGAAGAGAGATAATGAACATTTTTTTTGTTTTGTTTTTATTTTGATTTATTTGTTTTTTTATTTAATATGGTAATAACAAAATTACCATTTTACCCATTTTAAATTTGGTCAAAATCAACTCATTTGATCAACTAACGGTTTCCATCCATTTGGACCTTTGCTGCATATTTTTTAAAGGTTTGGGACATGTGGTGGCACAAAGTGAAGGTTGAGGTAAAGCCTACAAAAATGAAAAAGTTAGGGACCGCTGCTGCAATTTTTCCCAAAGACGTAATTTTTAGTCTTCGGTCCCTTATATCCCACGGCCCTATAAGCATTTCAGCTTATGTTCTTTGCTTATTGCTCCTATTTTTCCTATCAATACAGCTTAA